TTCTCTAAACACACACTCTACAACTCCTACACACACTACGTCACAATACAATACACACACACACACACACTACAGCCCATATGCACACACTCACTACATCCCCTCTACACACTATGCCCCCTATACACACACTCTCTACAGCCCCTAGCGACACATATTACACCACAAACACGAATTAAATCGACCTTTTTACACAATACCACACCACAATCAGCTCACTCTACACACACGCAATCCCACAAGCAGTCTCCACACACATGCACAATACTCTTTCCTGGCCCTTTTGTCCTCTGGTATCCCACTTATGGAGACACCAGAGACAAGTTAAAAGCAAACACAGCGCAAGCATGTTATTAAATTTGCTTGCAATGCGTAGAACAAATATAGGGCCCTTTTTTCATGCTGGAGCTCTTCAGCGGGGCTCTGCACATTGAACCACCATGCTCACTTTGAGAGGGGGCGTGCTTGTCATTAGTGATGACAAAAAACACCCTCACTGGCCTCGCCCTCTTCCTATTTATTTCCCACTCCGGCCCTGCTCCCAATGCTTTCCTGTAGGAAAGCATTGGATTGGCTGAGATTATCAAAGTGAAGAACACACTCATAGGACTTCAAAATCAACAAGATAACGTCATTTGTATTTTACAGCTGTGTGACAGCATACATTCACCATTTCAGTCCCATTCCCAAATTTTCTTAATATTTCAAGGTAGTTGGACTGAAACATTGGTTATATGCAAATGCACGTCTCCTTAAAATAAATTTGCTCTTTTGTTTACTTTGAAGACCCACGAGCGTGAGGACGTCCAGTGTCAGTTAGGCAACTTTTTTTTTTTTTTTTCAAATATAAGTTCTTTAATTCGCTCTAATTCGTTGTTTATATTCATGCTGTGACTGTGCAGTATTACAACTTATTGTCTGGCACCAACCACCCCATCAGAAGACTGCAATTTCATGAGCTACCCCAGATACAAGATAAGGAGAGCTCACAAAATATAATAAATAGTCTTCCCAAAACTACAGTGAAACATCAAGATGAATGTTAAGGGGATGTCTCACTTTAGTACAATAGGAAGGTAAAGGGTATGCTTCTTTTAAAGGACCACTCTAGGCACCCAGACCACTTCAGCTTAATGAAGTGGTCTGGGTGCCAGGTCCTTCTAGGGTTAACCCATTTTTTCATAATTATAGCAGTTTCAGAGAAACTGCTATAATTATGAATGGGTTAAGCCTTCCCCCTAATCCTCTAGTGGCTGTCATTACTAGAGGCGCTTGCGTGCTTCTCACTGTGATTTTCACAGTGAGAGCACGCTAGCGTCCATAGGAAAGCATTGTAAATGCTTTCCTGGGAACCGTTGAATGGCTTGCAGCGGCGCGGCAAAAGCATTGGCGGGCGTAACGGAGGGGCGGAGAGAGGAGGAGAGCTCTCCGCCCAGCGCTGGAAAAAGGTAAGTTTTACCCCTTTCCCCTTCCAGAGCCGGGCGGGAGGGGGACCCTGAGGGTGGGGGCACCCTCAGGGCACTATAGTGCCAGGAAAACGAGTATGTTTTCCTGGCACTATAGTGGTCCTTTAAAAAAAAGCCATCACCCAAGAAGTTTAGAGTCCATTTCCCAAAGCCAGTCAAGGTGTTGGGCAGAGAACAGATGGGAAAAAAAAAATCACAGCTTGTCCAAGAAGTTATCCAAAGCTTGAACAGTCTCCTTCAGACCCTTCCTCTTGCGAGTTTCAGCCACAACTTGGCTTGGCCTGGTGGAATTGTCAAATGGATCTCCAGGAAGAATCTGCCAATGATCAAATACACACTGTGGGAAGGCCTGGCCACCAGTGTTTAATCTTAGGTCTGCAGTGAACCCAAATGATTAGTTGACTGGCAGGTAGGCTTTCACTATAAACATTGGTGTTCCTGCCACTTGAGATTCTTCAAAGACGTGTCCACGCTTTCTGTTCAAGACACCGTAAATGCCACCAACTACCTGCTCAGGGCACTGAATCTCCACAAGATAGATTGGTTCCATCAGACGGGGCTGGGCTGTCAACACACATGCATATAGGCAACGACGGGCTGTAGGAATGATTTGTCCACCACCTCTATGAATGGCATCAGCATGAAGAGTCACATCATGAACATCAAAGCGGACAGCTCTCAAGTTCTCTTCACAGAGCACACCCTCTTTTGTGGCCCACTGGAAGCCAGCCACAACACTGTCTTTTATTTCGTTAAGATATTGTACTCCTTTTGTCACATCAGTCAGGATGTTTGGTCCAGTACCGTCAGGCCCAAAACACCAGATCTTCCTAGCCTCTGTAACATCCCACTCATATTTCTCTGCCAAGTAACCGGCACGAATCTTCAACTCTTGGCGGGCACTCACGTCTCCTTTGTCAATATCCTCAGCAAGGCCGTCACGGAATGGACGGGCCTTCATATACAGACGGTTATGCTTGTTAGGAGATTTTGACAGGCACAGCTGGTTTGACTCATCACTCACAGTTTCACGGTATGAAACAACCGGGTCAAATTTCTTAATTGGAATGCAGGCATGGTCCTCCACTAGATCCTTCAAGCAGATTTCCAAATGCAGCTCTCCAGCTCCAGCAACAATATGTTCTCCAGATTCCTCAATGATGCACTGCACCATAGGGTCTGACTTAGCCAGACGCTTGAGACCCTCCAAAAGTTTTGGAAGATCAGCAGGGTTCCTTGCTTCTACAGCCACACGCACTACAGGGCTGACACTGAACTTCATAACACGCATGTTATGTGAATGTTCGAAAGTGGTGATTGTCCCAGTTTTCACCAGGAACTGGTCCACACCAACCAAACCCTCAATGTTACCACATGGAACGTCTTCAATTGGCTCCACATAACGCCCCATCATCAGGATGGTCCTCTGGATAGGCTTCAGGTAAAGGTCCTCTTTCTTTCCTAGAGTATAATTTGGTCCCATAATTCTGACTTTGACGCCAGTGGAGACAACACCAGAGAAGACTCTTCCAAAAGCATAGAACCTTCCCTTATCAGTGGTGGGCACCATTTTTGAGATGTACATCATTAATGGACCTTTGGGGTCACAGTTTTTATGCCCATAGCGGCTTCATCATCAGGTGGTCCTTCATACAGCAGCTCACAGCGGTACCTCTGAGCAGTCACTGGTGATGGCAGGTGGATGGTTATCATCATTTGCAGAAGAGCTTCTCCAGCGGGAAGCCAGCGTCTCATAACAGCCTTTAACAGTTGTTTTCCCTCTTTATCTTTGTCTTCACTGTCCAACTTGATGTCCAGTTTCTCGATAAGTTTAGCAGTTTCATCTTTCTTAAAGTTCATGATGGCATCAAAAACCTTGAAGATTAGGTCCAGGATAAGCTGGCAAAATGTTCTAGGCAACTTCTTTCCATCAGCATTTGATGCAGCCTTGCTAAACTTTCCATTGGCAGGATCAAAATACCTGTCTCCCCAAAGTTTCTTCATCATGTCTTCCACTTTTTTTGCATGTTCAGCTGGTGTCAGCTTGCCGTCACCCTTTGCAGCAAACTTTTGCACATACATCTCTGCAAATTGTTTGAGTGTAAATGCCCAGCCATGGAGTCCAGAACCAAAGCCAACAGTACCAAGAACTGGATTAATCATGATGTTTCCCATGGGTCCTTTCTCTCCCTCACCATAGGTGGATATGATAACGTTTACGTTCTCCACAATACGCTGGAAGGTCTGATATAGCTCTTCTTGCTCTAGTTGCAGTTCCAAAAGTGCACGGTCCATTTTGTTCATCATCAATACAGGGCGGATTCTTTCAGCAATTGCTTGACGGAGTACGGTTTCAGTCTGCACACATACACCAGACACGCAGTCCACCACAACAAGGGCACCGTCAGTAACACGCAGAGCTGCTGTAACTTCAGAGGAAAAGTCCACGTGGCCAGGAGAGTCAATCAAGTTGATAAGGAAACCAGATCCATCTTTACTTTGCTTAATAAAGGCCAAATCGTTCTCAGATAGTTCATAGAAGAGGGAAATTGCTGTAGATTTGATTGTAATACATCTTTCCTGCTCATCTTTACGGGTATCTGTGAAGCGAGTTTCACCGGCACGAGATGATTCCAGCTTTACATACAAGACAGTCAGTCAGAGTGGACTTGCCATGGTCCACATGGGCAATGACTGACATATTGCGAATGTTCGCCTTCTTGTCCATGATGTTGCGAATCTGGTCTACCGTGAAGTTCACCATTTTGGCGGATGTCGGTGGATGCTTCTCAGGGGACTGGAAAACGACGAGCGGACTGCCTGCCACACAGCAGACAAACAGGCGGAAGAGCTAGGCAACTTTTTTTATACTGTACTTTCCTAAATAAACCTAAGTTTCTATGAAAACTGAAGTTTTTATTTTTTTTCGGGCCCACATAAACGTAAACCTTGTTTATTTGGCCCGTGTTAGTCTTTGAGTTTGACATGCTTGTCGTAGAGATTAATTTTACAAGGTAAAAATGCACCTCCTCCCATGTGGGCATTATTGTATTGTAGTTTTGAACGTGGGTGCTTTGTTAACTTAAATTTAAAAAAATATATAATTAACCCAAGAATGTGGGCGCCATTAAAATGTAACTGCATCTTGAAATGGACAAGAGCACACACAAAAATGCATCACCAATGTTTTAAGGAAATGTTGTTTTATATCTAGAATGCTTGAATCTTTATATTATCCTTTATATGGTTGATTTGTGTACCTGGGTGGTTTTATGACTTGTACAAGGTCAGTAAACCTCCTGCAGAGCAACACAATGGTCTGATCTTATACAATTGCTTTCTTGTCTGGGCAAGCAGGTTGGCTAGAATCAAGACACTCAATTACTCATGGTTTGTATGTATTCTTCCTATTGGCTGAAAATGGTAAATATTTGGCAAACGAAATGCACCCAAAACCTTCTGATTGGGCAGAGAATTCAAGAAACTATTTAAATGTCTAATGTTTTCACCAGTAGACCTTATTGCTTAGTTTCTCTTTACTCTAAAGTGCTTTCGGATTAAGGTAAATATTTTATCTTCTTCCTCGATCTTTATCTTTTCCACCTTTGTTAGTATTTTAAACTTTCAGACCTGGAGCTGTTATAACCTTGCTGTTTTCAATCTCTGGTCATATGGAAGCTGCAATATAGATAATGCTTGTGTAAACTACTATTGAACAATTATTGCAACTCAGAATTCCCATATTTTCACAGACTGCCGTCTTATTCAGCAAAATGACAATTGTGGAGAATTTACAAAAATGTCAATAATAGGCCAAAATATCAAATGTCTCCAAATCTATGTTTTCTCATTTGTCCTAATAACTGCAGATATTCTGTCAGATCTCCACAATTGTCAGTTTAAGTTGGCAAATCATTGTAATTCTACAACTAGTGATCTAACTTTTTTCTATCTTTGGACAATAGTCTTCAAGTTTTTAACATGATGATCTGCTGACTATACACCCTTCAGGTTTCATTCATGCTACATTATGTCACTGTGTACCCAATAATAAACTGACAGGTGAGATGTGTCAGAATAGGATGTTATTAGTCTGAGATCAAGAGTTTTCTATGAGCCGACACACCTTTATCCAGGATACTAAGTAGATATTGCTTAATATAAATGAAAGGATTATTACTGTGTGACAGCAAGGCTAAACACAATACTATCTTGCTCACCCTGATAGTAAAGTGTGACTTTCAGTTGAAACAAAGATACAACCACAATGCAACCTAGATGCAAAAGATGGATGTTTGAGAGAAAATACAGGAATCTTACAGGGAGAGTAACAAAGTACCATTACATTTATTGTATTACAAATAAAGAAGTTGAAGAGAAAGTTTTATCAGTTTGAAAAAATTCTATAGGTCTCTGAGTTCCTGGAACTTTCGAGACATGATCGACAACCATTATTGGAAATGATCAACACAGCTAACACCGTGCTGTAACTAAACAATACAAAACCGTGTCTATGTAGTAGAGTTTTACGGTGTTGTAAACAGAACGTACTGTATCCTTAACAAACAGTACAATTCTCTCAAACAGGAGAGCAAACTGTTTAATAAATTATTTAAAATTCTAAAACGTAACAGTTCCTCTCCTGAATACAATAGCTTTAGGGAAGATTTACTTTTAATTTCTTAAAATCTTATTGTTACTGCAATGGCATGTCCTTACGTATTAAAGGGTTTCTCACATATAGTTCCCCCTGAGATGTCTGACGTTATTGATTATGCTACCTATACATCCTTTATAATTTTATAAAACCTTTGCATTTGGTAGAAAGTCTTCTAGCCTGATTGTGTACCAAAGCCACAGCATGTACAGTTTAAATACAAGCACAAGATTCTTTGTGGTCAGCACACGCCCGGTACGTTATGTTGACAGAGGCTGTAGCTGAACAATGCAAACATAATAAATGTAATTTATAAAGAAATGGAGCGTTGGAAACCTACTTGAAAACATTGCGCGCTATGCAATGTCTCACTTTTCGACTAGCTGTGATCTCACACACAGAGCTGCTGTGAGCCGAAAGAATAACAAAATATCGAAGGTGCTAAACACTTTCTAGTTTCAAGAACATTGGTTATAAAACAAACAATCTCCAGTTGTACAAGTTTTATTGGACGGATAAGAACAGTAAAGAAAAATACGCGACTGTCACATGCATGTTGATGAGAATTCAATTTTATTATGATTGCAACTATTTACCAAAGATTTGAATCTTGACAAGTATGGTATTGACAATTAATAGATTGTAATGCTTTCCACAGAAACGGGACTCCTCCAGAACAACCAACAAAGAATGAATCTGAGTAGGAAGCTTGGGGATATGAAGCTCTCAAAAGTCACTTTCCAGGCAACAACGAAAGACCGTGACCCCACAAGAGCAAAAGAAGTAAGATGCCAAAACCATGGTAGTATTTAATTTATACGGTTCTAGTGCTGAAGGTTGCCTATGCCTGGTATAGTGTATAGAACAGATTAACGGTCTGTTCTAGAGCCTCATGACTGTTATATGCTTCATAAACTTTCAGAGTTATTCATTAAGGTATGAATCGCTAGGAATTCAAAGTAAATTCTTTTTTATTTTATTTTTTGTCAAAGTAGCAAATGTAAAACATTGCTGACTTGGTCCATTTTGAGTATTTTGGCCTAAAATGTTAAATTAATTTTGAACTCACTTTGAATTGAGTTATGCAAACCTACAAGGCACACATGCACTTTGCATATCTATATCTGTGAAAGGCAAATGTAATGTCATGATAAAGTGTATATATATTGATGTGAGCTCCATATACTTAGCTGGAATCTGGACCACCGATGCCTAAATGTATTGTTATCTGTTGTACACTGTCTGACTAAATATCATTACATGTTACACTGCCTGACTATCATTTCATGTTACATTGACTCAATATCATTCCATGTTACACTGCCTGACTATCACTACATGTTACACTGCCTGACTATCATTTCATGTTACACTGAACTGACAGACTGAATATCATTCCATGTTACACTGACCGAATATCATTATATGTTACACTGATTGAATATCATTCCATGTTACACTGACTGAATATCATTCCATGTTACACTGACTGACTGAATATCATTCCATGTTACACTGACTGAATATCATTCCATGTTACACTGACTGAATATCATTCCATGTTACACTGACTGACTGAATATCATTTCATGTTACACCGACTGAATATCCTTCCCTGTTACACTGACTGACTGAATATCATTTCATGTTACACCGACTGAATATCCTTCCCTGTTACACTGACTGACTGACTATCATTCCATGTTACACCGACTGACTGAATATCATTCCATGTTACACTGACTGAATATCATTCCATGTTACACTGACTGAATATCATTCCATGTTACACTGACTGAATATCATTCCATGTTACACTGACTGACTGAATATCATTTCATGTTACACTGACTGAATATCCTTCCCTGTTACACTGACTGACTGACTATCATTCCATGTTACACCGACTGACTGAATATCATTCCATGTTACACTGACTGACTGAATATCCTTCCCTGTTACACTGACTGACTGACTATCATTCCATGTTACACCGACTGACTGAATATCATTCCATATTACACTGATTGAATTTCATTATGTTACACTGATTGACTATCATTCCATGTTACACCGACTGACTGAATATCATTCCATGTTACACCGACTGACTGAATATCATTCCATGTTACACTGACTTAATATCATTCCATGTTACACTGACTGAATATCATTCCATGTTACACCGACTGACTGAATATCATTCCATGTTACACTGACTTAATATCATTCCATGTTACACTGACTGAATATCATTCCATGTTACATCGACTGACTGAATATCATTCCATGTTACACTGACTGAATATCATTCCATGTTACACCGACTGACTGAATATCATTCCATGTTACACTGACTGAATATCATTCCATGTTACACTGACTGAATATCATTCCATGTTACACCGACTGACTATCACTACATGTTACACTGCCTGACTATCATTTCATGTTACACTGAACTGACAGACTGAATATCATTCCATGTCACACTGACTGATTATCATTCCATGTTACACTGACTGAATATCATTCCATGTTACACTGACTGAATATCATTCCATGTTACACTGACTGACTGAATATCATTCCATGTTACACTGACTGAATATCATTCCATGTTACACCGACTGAATATCATTCTATGTTACACCGACTGACTGAATATCATTCCATGTTACGCTGACTGAATATCATTCCATGTTACACCGACTGAATATCATTCTATGTTACACCGACTGACTGAATATCATTCCATGTTACGCTGACTGAATATCATTCCATGTTACACCGACTGAATATCATTCTATGTTACACCGACTGAATATCATTCCATGTTACACCGACTGAATATCATTCTGTTACACCGACTGACTGAATATCATTCCATGTTTCACCGACTGAACGAATATCATTCCATGTTACACTGACTGAATATCATTCCATGTTACAAAGACTGACTGAATATCATTCCATGTTACACTGACTGAATATCATTCCATGTCACACTGACTGAATATCATTCCATGTTACAACGACTGACTGAATATCATTCCATGTTACAAAGACTGACTGAATATCATTCCATGTTACACTGACTGACTGAATATCATTCCATGTTACACTGACTGAATATCATTCCATGTTACACCGACTGAATATCATTCTATGTTACACCGACTGACTGAATATCATTCCATGTTTCACCGACTGAACGAATATCATTCCATGTTACACTGACTGACTGAATATCATTCCATGTTACACTGACTGAATATCATTCCATGTTACACTCACTGACTGAATATCATTCCATGTTACACTGAAAAAATATCATTCCATGTTACACTGACTGACTGAATATCATTCCATGTTACACTGACTGAATATCATTCCATGTTACACCGACTGAACGAATATCATTCTATGTTACACTGACTGAATATCATTACATGTTACACTGACTGAAAGAACATCATTACTTGTTACACTGATGGAACGAATATCATTACACGTTACAATGACTGACTATCATTACTGACTTTTGTGTGTGGTGTGTGTGTAGAGGAGTATGAATATGGATGTGGGTTGTGTGAGGGTATGTTTTGCCTCCCCCCTTCCTTGCTAACTTTCCTTGTTGGTCCAGTGGAGGATGACCTGGATCCCTGGTTGTCCAGTTGAGGATGACCTGGATCATTGGTTGTCCAATGGAGGGTGACCTGGATCCTTGGTTGTTCAGTGGAGGATGACCTGGATCCTTGGTTGTCCAGTGGAGGATGACCTGGATCCTTGGTTGTCCAGTGGAGGATGATCTGGATCCTTGGTTGTCCAGTGGAGGATGACCTGGATCCCCCAGTGGCCTGACAGGAGAGCTTCATCATCTGTACCAATACTAGTCAGTGACTCAAATCACCAGTTGTGGTGCTCTGAATAATCGAGAAGTACCACAAGGGAGCTCATAAAGTGTTTTGTCGCTGATATTGGTACAGACCACCAAGCCATGCTCCACCAATCAGTATCTTTTCATAGAGATGCACTAAGTCAATGCCTCTCTATGGGGAGCGTTCATGCATAGCATAGAGATGCTGACCTTCAGTCCTGCAATCTTCGCAGAACCGAAACCAGGAATGCCCTCTAGTCGCTTTCTAAGTCACTACCACTAGAGGGGGCCTTAGGCAGTAGAGTAAACACTGCTTTTTATCAGAAAATGCAACATTTACACTGCAAGTCATTGAGATGAAATGGTCTATATGCCTATAGAGTCCCTTAAGGCAATGTTTTCAAACATGTTTCCTAGTGTTACAAGACTTTTACATTCACTGTTCCTTCATTAGTCTGTGGTTAGGGAGTCTGTCCGTGGAGGGAGCCTTGCTTTACATATTGTGGGACTGCTCTAGAATAACAAACTTCTGGCTGAAGGTGTATGATACTCTCATTAAATTGCTTGATATAAAAAAAAAAATTAAAAAAAAAATCTGTCATAATCTAAGTGTAACCAAAGCACTCCTACCCCTTCGGCCAGAGGCGCGTGCGCATTCAAACCTGCCCATAGGAAAGCATTATTCAATGCTTTCCTATGAGGATCTTTTTTGACGCTGGAGGTCCGTGAGCACGTCCAGCCTCAAATAAGTGCGATTTACTCAGTGTAAATCAGTGAGACAGCCACTAGAGGCTGAATTAACCCTGCACTGTAAACATAGCACTTACTGCAATGTTTATAAATTTATGAACATGTGAATTTATTCCTTAGTTTATTAGTGCAGAGTTAAATCCTTTTTTTTTTTATAGATCACTTTCATTTTACACCACCAACCACAATAGTAGACTTGCTGCAATCTTCTCATTTATATTAGAACCCCTGGTCATGAACTTAAACAATTACACTGAGGGAATTATTTAATAAACAGTTAATTCTAGTTTATTAAAAAACGAATTTCAAAATGTAAACTAAGCTAGGCAGCAAAGTTTGACAATATTTTAAAATCAGCAATATTTCCTTAGATCCTGCTATTCGATTTTCAAATCGCTGCAGCTTAGAGGTTTATAAATAAAAACCTTAATAATTTGTGGTAGAATCTCATGCTTTCAACCACTTGAGAATTCCATTCTCCTAAAGTAGCAATATATCATAAATGCTCGTGTTTTTTGATGCCTTTTTCTGTTGCTGATGGAGGAGTTTGCAAGCTGCTACAAATAACCTTTAATTAAAAATGTATGTACTCTGCCATACATTAAGACAAGACTGATGTTTCCAGAAATCAACTGATTGAAATACATTTACAAACAGGAGGACTGATTTCATGGTATAAGTACTTATTATAAAAACATATTTACAAGAACAACTATCAATATGGCAAATATTCAAAACTGTCACAATAAAATCATTTTACTGGAAGTGTACTGTAGATACAGCTCTGCATGCATTGTGTTTAAAATGAGAATTTTTTTTTTGCAATAGGATCCTATATGTGCATGTTTTTGCAAGTTTACCTATAAATACACTGATGAGCCCCAACATTAAAGCAGACCTATCATCCCACTCCGCTCCCCAAAAATGAGTATTTCATAAAGATAAAATCTTAATGAAATACTCATTTTGACTGTGAAATTCCAACCCAATTGAGAGATATATATGGACATAGTAGGGACTTCTTTGTCTCTGTATTTCTTCTCCATCTGACTTTCTTAGACTCAGGGCGAAGCATATGTTTCAATCCCAACGGAATTGGCTGTTTCTATGGAGGATCCATCCTACTGTCTCGCAGGATCCTTTATAGAGTTCAATGCTGTACTCTTCCGCATGACTTTGGCTCCTGACACTAAGGAGGAGCAGACCAAGAAAAAAGTCAGCGCCCTTTATCTGCTCCCTTTCCTCCGGCCACTGGACCCCCTCCAGCAATGTCATCATCGGGGGTCTTAGCGAATTTGGCCTCAGACAGTGACAGTGCCGCTTTAAAACCACTGACAGGTGAAGTGAATAACCTTGATTATATTGTTACAATGGTACCTGTAAAGGGGTGGAATATAATAGGCAGGAAGTGAACAGCCAGTTCTTGAATTTCATTTGTTGGAAGCAGAAAAAATGGTCAAGTGAAAAGATCTGAGTGACTTTGACAAGGGCCAACTATTGTGAAAGCTAGAAACTGGGTCAGCGCATTTCCAAAATGTCTGGTGGGGTGTTCCTGGTATGCAATGGTTAGTAACTACGAAAAGTGGTGCAAGGAAGGACAACTGGTGAATCGGCATAAGGGTTATTGGTGCCTAAGGTTCATTGATGCATGTGGGGAGCAAAGGGCAGCCTGTCTGGTCTGATCATACAAAATAGGTACTGCAGACCAGTCAGAGTGCCGATGATGACCCCTGTCTACTGCCAAAAGTGCCTTCAATAGGCACGTGAATATCAGAACTGGACCATTAAGCAATGGAAGAAGGTAGCATTTTCTGATGAATCACGTTTTCTTTGATATCAGGTGGATGGTTAGGTGCGTGTGTTTTGTGTACCAGGACAAGAGATGGCAGCACAATGCACTCTGGGAAGAAGGCAGGCCAGCAGAGGCAGTGTTATAATCTTGGCAATGTTCTGCTGGGAAACGGGTTCTGGCATTCATGTAGATGTTACTTTGACATCTACTACCTACTTAGAGATTGCTGCAGACCACGTACACACCTTTATGGCAATGGCCTTCCCTGATGGCAGTTGCCTCTTTCAGCAGTATAATGCTCCCTGCCACACTGCAAAAATTGTTCAGGATTGGTTTGAGAAACATGACAAAGAGTTCAAGGTGTTGCCTTGGCCTCCAAGTTCCCAAGATCTCAATCTGACTGAGCATCTGTGGGATGTGCTGGAACAACACATCTGATCCATGGAGGCCCCACCTCGCAACTTGCCGGACTTAAAGGATCTGTTGCTGATATGTTAGTGCCAGATACCCTAGAACACGTTTAAAGGTCTTCTGGAGTCCATGCTTCGACACATGAGAGCTGTATTGGCAGCACGAAGGGTCCTATACTATATTAGGCAGGTCGGTTTAATATTATGGCTAATCCGTGTGTACATTAATGTGGGTGTACTGGACACTTTCCTTTAAAATGCCTAGATCAGATAAGCCTGAGTTGCAAATTATCAATGCTCCATTTTGTTGGGGCCCTAAACAGTCTGAGCTGCCCTAAATCTCAAATTGGTGGACATTAAGATCAAACTACTCTGATGAAAAGTATTGGAACAGTGAGATTGTGATCACTTTGGCATCATTAATGGCTCATCAGCAGTCATTGACATGTTGATTAATATAAAATGATAGATTGTAGCATATCGCTATATGTCTAAAGCAAATCAGTCTAACAGGATAATTGGCTAAATGCCAAATAGTAGTAAATTGATATCAAAATTGTAACTAAAATAGCTGATCTAAAAAAATTCTCCAACTCAACTACAGTCACACCTAAGCTATTTTAGCCTCAATTTTGCAAGTCCAGTTGTAAATCACTTGAATTTGGAGTTGAGTGAATAACACTATAAGTATTTGCCTCCACATTTAGATTATTTATTTTAACAGAATCTCTTGAAGTCCCCAGGTTCTCTGGCTTCCAGAGGAATTCCGATCGTGAACTCTCAGCAAGATGACAAAACCCAGAAATCCGCAAATACCAAACAATCTCAACCACCCATTAGTCTTAAGGGTCTCCTGACTGCTCAACGAATTACAAGGGAACTTAAGGTAAAACTTATACCATTATTTGCTGGCTGTAACCGAGTCTCAGATTAAATATTATGCACAGTTGTGTTATGCAAAGGCTGTTTTGGGAAATTTAAAAGAGTTTGTATAGATTACTCTAGCTATGCCTTTAATGGAACATCTCACTTCCACCTGGTCTAGTTACTAAGTGATAACATGTGAAATTATATTGCAGTGCTCTCAAAAATGGATTGCACTGCAAGAAGAGGATGTGGGAGAGGGATCTGTGCATCAGAGTCAAAATTTCTTGCTATCGTACACCATACATTAGTAGAGTGATCACAAGAAGCAGACTAGGGACTCTTAACTGGCCTTCTGTAGGTATACAATCTGCGAGCTTCCGGATAAGAAGCATCAGTCAGATAACCATAACCTTTTCCATGAGTCCGAAGCGGTATGAGAGCCACCGTCAGCTCCTCTGCAGACCGTGACTCCCCATGCCAAAGTAGGCAAATCTTCTTGATAGTACTGCTACCCTGGCCAAGAGCACCGCCACTGCAATGACGGAGGTCGTTGCCACCATCAGCTCCCCTGCTGAAGTGGAAAGATCCCCATCTGCTCAGGTGCTGCAGTTCACTTTTTGAAAAGCCAAAACTACTCACCTGAGTGTCAGTGCCAGTACGGAATGAGTGAAGAGAGTACCCTTCTGAATTGACTCCCAGAAAAACTAAGCACGATTTAAGCACCCATGAAAACTGATAAACATGATACTCTACTGTCAGTGATCCAAACGGAATGCTAAGTGAATATTGAGATTTAGGTCAAAACAGCACATTTCAAAACCCAGGAATTGGTAACTTTGAAATTTGTTGTCACTTTGATTTTACATTTCAGTGAATAACGCCAACATTAGCAATCATTTGATGAGGTTATCAGAGAGGATTAAACTTGTCACATTCTGTCTTTCAGAATCGAGCAGCTTTGAGAAGAAAAACCAGAGCTCGAACACAGCACCGGAGATCAGTGATCATCATCAATGAGCAGGTGAGATGACTTTATGTGCCCACTGCTACTAAAGTAAAAATCCCAAGTGGATTTTTCAGTTTGGCTACTCTACTGTATTTTCCAAAGGTTCTTCTCTCTTAATATGTCCTGGAAGAGAGAGACATTCAATTATAGTTATGGTGTTTTTTTTTTGCATTCTTTGTTTCTCAAAAAAAAAAACCACACATCTGACATCAGAATGATTTATTGCATGATACTCTGTTAAATGCCTGATAGACTACAGACATTTTAAACCACTAATACACATCTAAATGCAATCTAATAGTGCACTTGCCACCATACAAGAGTGTGTGCTTAACACCTTATCCCAGGCATTGTTCAATGTACCTTAAACAAATAATCTTAGTACACAAAACTTTACTGGTCCAATTTCTTTATCCTTTCTTATTCTGCTTTTTAAAGTGTGTATTGTTCTTTTTTTCTGGTAGCGCTATATTATAAATTGTGGTCGTCACAACTCCACCTGTTTGAAGGAGTGTTGTGTTTGTCATCTATACAAAGGAAGTGTTCAAGTGCATGTTTTATGAGGAATCAATAACCGAGAAACGCAAGAAAATGTAAATGTAAACACGAGCTGCGTTCTACCATTGCAAATACCTTCTCAAAAGGCTAATGATGGCAAAGACATAAACTTCAATTAGAATTTTGAATCAATGCTGCACACATGCAGTTTATATCTTAGGTGACACATTAACTTAAACAGGGATAGAAACTATGCCATAAATATATTGGCATTTTAGCCAATAACATCATAGTTTGAATTCAAATAACTGCACACATGAGAATAAAGTAATGGATGCCTCTTGTATGCCGTGAAATCCCTATTTACCCAAGCTAGAAAGGTAAAAATATCCAGACTACACAATATATACATATTTGAACTCATTGAAATATATATTATTTTATTTAAATTGAACAATTTGAACATTGTCGTCTCTATTTACATGCATTTAAAAAAAAACAAAAAACAAGAAATTCTCCAGTGAAGACCAGAGAGTACTTTGTAAAATATCAAATAACATTTCTATATTCTGTGCTATTTCTGCAACAGACTAATATTCTCTTACTCTGTCAAGGATCTTAAATGAGATTTAACTAAAGCTGGACAAGGTATTTTACAAGTTGTTTATTAGACCACGCCATTAATATATTTTTTTGTTATGCACGTCAAGAAACCAGAGAAAAGGAAAAAAAAAATTATTTAATGGAGAAACTCCAAGATACTAAGTCTGATGCATTTTGGACACAGTATACCAACAAATATGTCTCTCAAAATGCATCTTTTTTTTTTTATTTTGCTTTCTGGACATTTAGAAAATGTTTAATTTCAATAAATATGATGTGACTGGACCATTATATTATTATTTATAAAAATATATATTTTTTATCCTAGGAAGGATATAATTGAGATTTAATCATTTTCAAGAATATTTTTAAGAATGTTCTGGGATTTGCATCTTCCCACTGTCATGAAGGAGTTTAAAGCAAATGTATTTTAACTTTAAAGGGGAATTTTAAACACCATAAACACTACAGACTGTTGTAGTGGTTATAGTGCTGGCATGTTGTGGTTGTTGCCACTGGTTCTATGTCAAAGTGTTTTTGAATGGTTTGACATAAACCAAGGGTCTTCCAGGTGACCCAGCCCCTTGTTCACCAGATTGGTAATTTGTAAATTCCACTTCAGTGACAATTTACTTTAAATTTGGATGGAATTGATTGGTTGAGCACGTCATCTGATCAGAAGTCCATCTGTACTTTTCAAAATTACAGTGTAACTTCTGCAAGCAATGACAGACCACAGACTGCTCGGGGACCCTTGCTTTTTGTCAAACTGCTCAAAATCAATTTGACACAAAACCGGGGAATGATACATGTAGCCTTCTAGCACAACTGACTACAGTGCTTATGGTACTTAGTACCTTTAATACAGTTCCTCCATATAACACATGTGTAACATATTAACATATATGAGAAAATCAGTATGCTAAATCAGATAATACCAATTTCGTGGATTATTTGAGTGATCTGGAGAATCACCTGTCCCCATTGCACTCCGAGAAAATTAGGTGACTTTTCCAATTGAAATAAGTATAACCTGTGAGTACTTTTGAGTTTTGTCTCTTATACACAGGCACCAGATACCTCTGCTAACCCCTCGCAGAAGTTCCCACATACCCAAGCAAAAGAGCTCATCGATGACTTCTTAGAAACAAAGCTCAGAGACGTGATCTATGACCCAGATTTGTGCGCTCATCTCACCAAAGACTTGTGTGAAGATATAAAAAGAATGGTACGCAGACTAACTCCACCACGATACAAACTGATCTGCAATATGGCAATTGGAAGTAAAAGTCAAGAAGACGTTATTGTAACCAGTCAGTGTCTGTGGGACTCCCATTCTGACAATGTTACCTCCTGCAGCTATGAGAACCGTACATTGTTTTGTGTCGTTTTGGTGTATACAGTGTATTTTGAATAGTGCAATTCATTTCTCCAACTGCAACTTCTAGGGGGCCACAGGTTGGACAGACCTGATGTAAAGGGTAGCAAAGCAATACGATACAAAACATTGAATCTTTTCAGTTTTAAGTCTCTACAAAATAATATTATTCTTGCAACTGATGTTTTAAATGTCTAAATAAAATATACCTGACCTCATGTGTCTCCAGCATTCTTACATTACATATAGATACATTAACTTTTCCTTTAATGTATGATAGTGTCATGGAGCCAAGTTCTAATGTTTGTTCATCCGGTTGCGGCTGGCCCGCCCACGCTCTGGCCCTTGGCTGAGATGATCAAACTTGATGATCTTAGCCAATCCAATACTTTCCCATAGGAAAGCATTGGGAGGCTATCGCACATGAGCGGCAAAACACAGCGCTGCCAATCAGCATCTCCTCATAGAGATGCATTGAATCAATGCATATCTATGGTGAAAGTTCAGTGGTGCGCCCTGTGCACTACTTTCAAACTTAAGGCCAAGGAAGCCAAACTGGTAACATAGATGACTTAGAGAATGGCTCTAGTGTGGCTATTTTTACACTTTGAATTCTCACTTTGGTCAAAAACCCTGTTAGTGTGAACAATGCTATCCCTTCAGTTTGCGTGCAAAACTGAATTACCTGTGAATCAAGTGGTTTGTTTGGCTTTATGCACAAGGTTAGCAGAGCAGGCCCAGTCTCACACTTCATAAAACCTGGGTAATTAATCTGCAGCTGCATTTCAGTAATTAAGTGTAGATAAAGCTAGTGGACCAGCCAGCCTCAATTTAACCCACATACTCTTACACTCCAAGTGGTTCTTCTTTGCTCAAATAGGTCAGAAGAAGGCTGTATGCTGCAAACAATGTTAAGTCAAAATGCCCAAAGCACCGTTGTTCCAATTAAAATATGTACAAAACTTAAAACATACATATTACAAAACACTCCAAACATTCACACACAAACTCATGGTCTATCTCAATAGAACAATGAACTTAAAAAAAAAAAAAAGTATTTTCCAAAAAAAAACTAAACATTTTAATAAAAAATAAATAAAAATTCACAGTTAAAATATAAATAAAGAACTGTCTGTCTTTCCCAGCTGTTTCAGCATTTCTCTCATATCCTCATTAAATGTTAACGAGCCACAGATAAGTATATAGGACTCTCGTCTGCACGTTTTCAGCATGTTTGCCATGAAGTTGGGGTCCATTCTCCCGATCTTTGTGTTCTCCTGGTAGCTCATGGGCAAGTTTCCTAAAGACTTCTCCTGCATCCCAAATACAGAATAGAAGGGTATTAATAAACCAGTTTATGGTGTTGCACAAAACCATGGATATGGCTAGAATTAATTGAGTACTATAGTTATTAATACTATATTAATCTTCCTAGTAGTAAGAACAAATACATGTATTGTTTGGTAGGACAATAACAAAAATGCCAGTGTGATAGAATAATATAAAAAGCTATGAACTGAATAGAGGTTTAGCTCCATTCACTGCTTCAGAAGCCAAAGGCATGTTAAAGGCTTCTAAATCACTTATATGATTGGGTTGCCCAGTGACACCATTACTAAGCGATATAAAACACTCCCTTACATCTCAGTGGGGAGCTGAACATTCCAATTACTTTTCTTAACTCTTTGCATTGCATTAACAATTAGTTAAATATACACAGTTGTGGCCTGGTGTGGTCACTAACTAGCACCAGTATTCATTCAATATATTTTTCTGATTATCAGCTGGTATTACATGAGTGTTTTGAACGCAATCACAATCTGACAATAAAGGATCCTTTCTATGCTAGTAATGCTGCCAATGTAATATAACATCATTTACTTAACTGGACTTAACCCTTGTTGCCCTCATCAAAAACTCAATATTAAGCTCAATAGGCCAAGCAAAAATGTGATATTGCAGGCTTTGCTTCTACATCACAGGCTGAATGGTTATCAGATGATAAGCAATGTGTGTGACATTAACCCATCGTGTTTTAAATGAATATCGACGTGCGTGTTTCTTTAAAGTTTTTCAACGCAATCATTTAGGATACAATGGATGTGTGTTTTTCTTGTGTTATCAATTTGACAATGTTATTTTACTGTAACAATGTTTGTTTTCGATTTGCTTTAAGTGATCGAGGAATGATTTGCAAAGGTTTGGCCACATTGCTTGCAAAAGCCATGAATTCTGGAGAGATGTTTATGGTGTTTAACCAGCTCATGTGCGCCACCATTGCTAATTTCCGTGTTATTAGTTATTTAGTTGAAAATAATTTTCTGTGTTTTATTAAGACCTTTCTGCTATTGAAATCAATAAAGGCAAAATGATGATTGGCATTAACATTTACAGCACAATCTGTTTTAGTACACGAAGGTCTAAACAAGCTTTATTTCATGACGGAGCACCTTGTCTGGGATAATGTTTGGGAGATACTTTCTCAAATTGAAGCCAAGTGACAGACTGACTATGAAGCCCCATAATGAGATATTTATAGGAACTGACTGTAGCCATGATACAGTTAGACTTTGCCTTAATGTTTAATAGGACGTTATTAGTTTACATATTTCAGACTTTGTTCTAAAAAACAATGCAACCACTTTGTCTGAAATAAGGAAACTGTTTTCAGCAATTCAGCTTATAACTCTGAGAAATCATTCTGTAACACATACTCAAACTGTGATATGTTTAATATATGAGATCAATATATATGATAGCTGAAAGGTCCAAGAATTGAGCCCTTGGGACTTCACAAGCAACTTTAAGAGAATATGGGACATAGTTAGGAAAGGACACAAACTGGGCCCTGTCAGAGAAGTGTGATTGAAACTAGTTTGGATACGCACCACCTTTACCTGAATTTTTGTTTTGTTTTAAAGGGCCAAAGCATGCCCAATCCCCCGGTCCCCATTTGCAATGGCCACAGTGTCACCAAAGGGGAGAAAATAAACACAGAAAGCAAATTTAACATGGAAAACAACCAAGTGCTCAAGGTATAGCATAAAACTGAAAATTTCTGTTTACACTTACTTTATTAATGAAATGAAATACCCACGCAGAGGTAGATAAGTCCAAATGGTGTATTTACCTGGCTGAGCACATAAAAGATTCTGACATTCCAGAATCGCGCTTGCTCATGTAGAAAACTCTTCAAATACAGTTTCTCATATGTTCGACAGCAAATGACCAGTGTTATAAATGTTTCATCGTCTTCATTATCTGTCACAGAACTGAGAATGGGCAGCATCGGAGCAATACCAGTACCCGAGCACAGCATAACAAGCTCTCCATACTGTTAGAACAAAGAGGCTAGACTTGGAATACAAATTGGATATCCTCAAATGTTAACATATCACGATACAGGGCCATTGGGGTGGTGATTAACTACTAAAATAGGGGCCTTTGTCTGAAAAAGCCCAAACAATAAATCACACAGTATACATCATTGATTTTACTGGATATAGTTTCTGAATGGCACATATATCCTACTCATTAAGACATAATAGATCCACGGGGAACATCATGAATTTCTATATAGAAATATATAACTAATCGGGGAGGTGATGACCGATAACATATTCTGGAGCTTGCATTCTAAAGCAACTTCTGGGACACGGGCTGCATTGATAACTCTTGGAGTCATAATTCTATCTACCAGAATCGTTACATAATAACTACCAGCTATCTGTAAATATGGCAGTTACTCTCAGATTTCTGACCTGATTGGGTCTGTATGAAAATCCTCCAAATGGTCCCCGACATTCAATCCAGTCTCCTTCTTTCCAACCCGTTATAAACTGTGACATCAGGCCATGCTCATATATCTGCAGTAACCATAAATATAAACATTTCATTAAGACATGCCATCTATGGCCCACTGTTATATTTTGTACTGTAACCTATTTCTGTGGCCACAAATAGTTTAAAGGGACACTATAGTCACCAGAACAACTACAGCTTATTGAATTTGTTCAGGTGAGTAGAATCATTACCTTCAGGCTTTTTGCTGTAAACACTGTCTTTTCAGAGAAAATGCAGTGTTTACATTACATCCTAGTGATAACTTCACTGGCCACTCCTCAGATGGCTGTTAGAGATCCTTCCTGGGTCATGGCTGCCTAAAATGCATCCAAACATTCAGTATCTCCTCCCTCTGTATGCAGACACTGAACTTTCCTCATAGAGATTCATTGATTCAATTCATCTCTATGAGGAGATGCTGATTGACCAGGGCTGTGTTTGAATCATGCTGGCTCTGCCCCCGATCTGCCTCTTTGTCAGTCTCAGCCAATCCTATGGGGAAGCACTGTGATTGGATCAGACTACCACTTCTGATGATGTCAGCAGACTGCTTGTTGTCTAACAGCATGCAGAGCTACAGCTGCAGGCTTGAATACAGTAAGATTTCTATATTTATGGCGGCACAAATGTTCTACTGGATGAATGGGCACAAATTCCCACAGAAACACTCCAAATCTTGTGGAAAGACCAGAAGAGTGAAAGCTGTTATAGGGACCAACTAAATATTAATATCTATGTATTTAGAATGCAATGTCATAAAAGTCCCTATTAGTTAATGACCAGATGTCCCAATACTTTGTCCATACAGTGTATAATCATATCAGGATTTTAAATAGTAATCCTGAAAGCAATGCAGGTGTCAAGATATTACCTCTAACCTATCACAGAATAGTTTAGATCTCCAAAGATAATGCAGATTTTTTTCCAACACAAATAAATTCATACAAAAAGACAGACAGCAATGATAGGCTGTGTATGCTTGTGGAGGCTTAACGCAGCACTAGCAGCCCACCACTGCTGTTCAGGACAGAATATCGACAGATCATTGAAACTACTGTATAATCTGGGGGCTGCAAAATAGGAGGGCTGTAGCTTCTAAAAGAGCTCCAATTTCTGTCAAACCACTCAAACAGTTTAACAAGAACACAGAGGGACTGCACCAAAAGACTTCCTGCACTGTAATCGTTACAGTAAGCTCTAGTGGTTATAATGCTTAAAATGTCCCTCTCAAAAGATAATATTCTACATTTTTTACCATAACATACTGAAAATGCTTTTCACAGAGGAATCCCTGAATTGTCGTTTAAGAGGTTTCCATACTGAACATCCAACCTAAAAAGTCTACATAGGGGTTTTAATACGTAAACCATCTGCAATGGTTTCTTTGGAGGAACAACAAAAAAAAAAAAGATTCAGCCTTCTAGGTAAACTTTTTTTTTTTTTAAATCTTCTTTATTTAAGATGTAATCGGCCTAATGGGAGCATAAAAAAAAATCATATTTGGTATGATACCCCACCAACTATTTCTCCTTCGTTTTCTTGCCTTGAACCATCAATTATAAAGTCCAAAGTGCAAAATCCCAAACAAAGAGATATGACTTGCAGGTGTATATTTCATCATTAGAAAATCGTCAGTATTTAGTTTTCTAATCTTATCAGCATTGGAAAAGTCTACTTGCGTAAATGGTCATGTCTGCTTGCACACGATTATATACATATATTCACGTATATAAACATAGCATCGTAAATAGCTTGTCATTGCCATCGTGGGATATGTTGTGGCAGGTTACTTTCCATGATGCATTTTATTCATATCTCACAGCAAACTGACAAACATTACAGATCATACCTTGATTAAAACGTCAAAGTGGCCTCTTGTATCCAGACGACTAATTGGTGTGTAGGCTCTCTGGATTTCCAACCCTTTTACAATCCCTCTATAAATGAAAGAAACTGTTGGTATACAACAGAGGTGGCTAACTTCTTGCACTCTAATTAGTGTGGCCTACATTTATTCAAGCGTCACAGAGCCATGAGGTTGGCTGAGCTTCATGGGAAAATAAAGAACAGTTGGAAGGGCAATTCAGTGGTTTTACACTATCAGACTGTGTTATGGGAGTTGATCAGGCGCACTCTTAAAACCTCTTTCTAGGGTTAGTATGTGCGGTTACGCATAGAAGTACTTAAAACTTTATCATTATTTTTTTTATGCGCCAACATATTCTGCATTGCTTTATAAGGCAGTGATGTCACTAGTGGTCTAACTAGCTCAGTAAAACAGAGAATTTAAAATGCAGACATTGTAGCATTGCTACAACTTTTTAACTTTGCTGTGCCCCAAACACCTATCTCTGACAGAGCTCCAGCCATGAAAATAGAAAAACAAGGCGTGTTCTCTGTAGTCCAGTGTAGTCTCTGTAGTCCAGTAGTTACCTGGTAGAGAATGCTTGTTATACTACCTGCCTTCCACTGAATGGTTACCTGAAAACAATGTGCTGCCCTAACATATGCCCCAAACTGCTCCCGTTTGGGAGATGAAATCGGTAACGATTTGTATCATCTGTTTCTCGTTCCACTAGGATGAGTCTGAATGCAGTGAATGTTTCTGAGTTTAGGACTGAGCCACTGTTCTGCAAAACAAGAGCATATTACAGGAAAAATTCATATCAATATTATTTTTTAAAAAGCACCAACACATTCAGCAGCGCTGTACAATTGTGAATAAAACATGCAAGTAAACTCTACAAGAAATGCTTGACTTAATCTTTAAGAAGAAAACATATTAAAACCACTACAAAACCTGCTACAATAGAATACCAAGAAATGACAGAAAGACAAAGGAGGTGAAGGGTTAATAAACACCACAAGAAATTAGGGGGAGCCCCCTTCCATGGAGCCAGAGCAACCTCTCGTTTATGACCGGCAACTACTTGCCAACAGCCTGGAACTCTGAGCCGGAACGGAGGTTAGGCACATCCCGCTAGAACTTCATTAAATGATTACTGAGGCTACATACCTCCAATCCAAGCACTTTTTGGAATGTTTAATATTGAGAGCAAGCCCTGTCTAAGGCTGTATGACTTGTCACCTGTACTTCTGGGGAACATTATGTTTTATGGTTCATATAGTACGGCACCCTGTTGTCTGGATGTTAATAAAATCATCTTCAGTTAATGTAGCTATCCCTCCACAAACAGCGGCATCAGGGAGGGAGCCTTTTGTCACAGATGATTGTCCCCTTTATGATTGTTTCCTAGAAATATGTGTCAGTAAAGAGTTGTTTTACCCCTTCACTAAGTCTATTTTGGTGTTTGGGGAAGGTCTATAGTCACTTTGGTGATTCTTTCCCAGTGCTAGGGAACTTTGTCGGAGGTACTCGGTCGGAGTACAGGAGCTCCGTCACAGCTACATCCCATCCAACATATGTGCCTCATCTAGTTTAAAGCATGAGAAACTGATCACTACGTGTCCATCCAGACATGAGGAATGTCACACTCCATTACCTCAACTTTTCTCCTGGATAGCAGGCTTGTGTCTCCAAGCTCCTTGGCTTTCTCCCAACGTTCTAGGTCAGATTGGTAGATATCAAATACACAAGGTGAGCAGCCACTGCCACAGCACTGAGCAGGAGAAGGTTCTGTAGGTTTCAGAGAGAGCCAGTCAGTCTCATCCTCACACATCACCTGGCAAGAGAAACAGACTGTGAGGCTCCCAATAAAGCCAGAAAGGGAGATAGTGTCTGATACTGGACAAAGGCTCTGGATGTGAACAACAAATTAGTACTTACTGAGGTGTCTGTCTTGAACCCAGGCGTTGGCTACTAGGGACTCTGACACATCACTCTCTCTCTATGTGCACCTTATAAAAACACATGATTTTAGCAAAATAGATTGGAATACAAGGCCTATGAAATATGCAACTGTCTCGATTTAATATTTTTGGAAAAGCTTTTCAAATTATTTCATTTATTTTTGGATAAACTTTTACAATTATTAACATTCAAAAAAATATCTTATTTTATATATAAATATATTTCCACGCCCCCCCCCAATATTTTGTAAAAAAGTGAAATCAAGGCATTCTGATTATGTCCATCACAGTTCTACAAATATAGGCCTCGATTTAACATTTTTCAATAAGCTTTTCAAATGATTTAATATTTTTGGGAAAAAATCATTTGAAAAGCTTACGCAAAAATATAAAATGAAGGCCATAACCACGTCCTCCTTCTTTACAGGACGAAATGGTAGTAATAGTGTATAAACACATTTATACGGGAAAAGGGAATTGTCGCTATTATAAAAATGGTGGTTCGTCTTTAAAGTAACTCGGGAAAGTACTCATCAAAGACTAAATTAAGTCTGCCGTACAGGCACTCATTTACAATCATTATCAGAACTGTTGTCATTTTACTTATAAAGAGCCAATAGCTATAGTATTCATCAGCCCCCCCAAAAAAAACAGAAACCAAAAACAGCTACCTGCGCTCCATCTGAAATCCTTTTGCACATATGCATTAAACAAAAGTGTTCTCTAAATGAAAGCAGTAAAAGAAAAAAAAAGTTTTAAAGTTTTACATTGGATTGACCGTGTAGGTTTATTTTTGGGAGGCACACAAGGTCTATGCCTTTACTATGAGAAATCCGGTATTTGCTCACAATTTCACAGTATGGAGACGTGTTCTAAATCAGAATTTATTCACTTAACTCTGACAGTTATTCACTAACGGGGGTTACTCATTTAAGTGAGAAGTCAAGGTGAACTCAAAGATAATTTTAAATTTAAAAGGACACTATAGTCACCAGAACAACTACAGCTTATTGAATTTGTTCTGCTGAGTAGAATCATTACCTTCAGGCTTTTTGCTGTAAACACTGTCTTTTCAGAGAAAATGCAGTGTTTACATTACAGCCTAGTGATAACTTCACTGGCCACTCCTCAGATGGCTGTTAGAGATCCTTCCTGGGTCATTGCTGCCTAAAATGCATCCAAACATTCAGTATCTCCTCCCTCTGCATGCAGATACTGAACTTTCTTCATAGAGATTCATTGATTCAATTCATCTCTATGAGGAAATGCTGATTGGCCAGGGCTGTGTTTGAATCGTGCTGGCTCTGTCCCTGATCTGCTTCTTTGTCAGTCTCAGCCAATCCTATGGGGAATCACTGTGATTGGATAGGGCTACCACTTCTGATGATGTCAGCAGACTGGTTTTTTTTTCTGAGTCAAACAGCATGCAGAGTGACAGCTTCAGGCTTGAATACAGTAAGATTTTGCTATATTTATGGAGGCATGAGGAGCCCAGGGGGGCTAGATGGTGGTTTTAACACTACAGGGCCAGGAATACGTGGTCAAAATAGCCAAACAGGAAAAAATATCTATGTCGTCTATGATTTGAATTTAGCTACTATAGCTACTATAGTCATCAGAACAAGTACAGCTTAAAGGCACTACTTTAGCTCATTGAAGTGATCTGGGTTCATAGTCAGTTCCGGTGCTAACACAGGCAGCACAGGAGTCTAACTTAAGGGCGCACAGGCCTGGGGACGAAAAAGTCCAGGTGACAGGCAGGAGGGACTAATGCGAGAGCGGCCGAACCAGAGCCGAAGGACATCAGCGCTGGACATCAGCGCTGTGACTTCTGCACCATGGGCAGGGCACAAAGGAGGGGGCATTATAGGAAGCTATAGTGCCAGGAAAACAACTTTTTTTTTGTTTTCCTGGCACTAGAGTTTTCCTTTAATGAAATTGTTCTGGTGTCTACAGCCTGTCCCTTCAGGCTTTTTAATGTAAACACTAACTTTCCAGAGAAAAGACAGTGTTTACATTCCTGCCAAGGGACAACTCCAGTGGCAGTCACTCAGACTGTCATTAGAAGTTCTTCCTGCGTCAGTACTACTGGAGACTCAAAACGCTCCCTATAAAGAAGCACGGAGCGGGGCAAGGATCAAGACCGGCACGATAAGGTGAATAAAATAGTTTTTTTAACAAAGGGGAGGGGGTGCAACTAAACTACGGCTTCAAAACTATAGTTTCAGGAATACACAGGGCTGCCATCATGAATGTTGGGGCCCTAACACAGCTCAAGGTCTGGGAGCCTAGGCCCCGCCCCCATGCCAGCATACAGGGTCCTCCCCCCAAGTCAGCCCACAGGGCCAACCCCTTAACCCACCCACAGTGCCTGCCCCCAAGTCTGCCCACAAAGATGCAGTGTGTGTGTGTGTGTGTAGAGTAGATACAGAGTGTGTTTTTGAAGTGGATGCAGTGTATGTGTTTGTGTAGAGCGGTGGTGCCCAAAAGGTAGAACCCCAGATGTTGCAGAACTACAACTCCCATGATGTTTGGCATGCCTTTAGAATGGCAAAGCATCATGGAAGCTGTAGTTTTAAAACATCTGGGGAATCTACCTTTTGAGCACCCCTGGTGTAGAAGATGCAGTGTGTGTATAGTGGATGTGGTGAGTGTTTAGTGGATGGAGTGTGTGTGTGTGTGTAGTGGGTGCAGTTTGTGAGTATATATAAGGGGTAGGATAGGGACTGCATTCTTTTTTTTTTTTTTTTTCATTTTAATTTTTATCATTAATTTATAAATGTTATTCCCCCTCCATACCTCTTACATGTGGCCACTCCCTGGTGGTCCACAGGTAATGTGCAGGCTACCAGGTGCTATGTAGTAAAGAGGGGGCCCAGCCAAGATAATATTCAGCTTCTGGTATTTTCTCTCTCCGACTCTCGTGAGTCCAGTCTGCGTGTCACACACAGTGTTGCTATGGTAACCTGCAGCCGGGAGCTCGTAAGAGCTCGTAAATGCCTCCTCTACACTATACAAGTTGCTGAGGGCCCGCAGGGGCAGTGCTGGAACTAACGTAGTGATTTTTTGGGGTCGTCCCCTAGCACAAAGGTGGCCAAAATGTAGTACCCCATCTGTCATACAAGTCCCACAATGCTTTGCTAGTTGGTAATCTACAATTTGCCCATCCTTGCAGAGTTATATTTAGCACTGAGCAGTGTTTGTGTCTTTGAATGTAAGCATGGTTGTGTATGGAGTATGTGTGTGTGAATGTTGGTTTTTGAATGAAGGCGTGCATATGTGTGTAGTGTATACATTGCCACACACAGTTACAAATACACTGAAACACATACAGATACACAGACATACACACCAAAATACATGCAAATACACAGACACACACGCTGGGACTTACACAGAGATACACAGACATCCGTTTAAGGGTTTGGGGAGTAAGTGTGAGGGTGGGTGAACATTCCACAGTTAGGGACTGAGTGTGACAGGGCTTGGGGGGTGAGTGTGACAAGGCGAGGGGTGGTTAGTGTGACAAGGTTAAGAGGGGTTAGTGTGACAGGGTTAGGGAGTTTAGTGTTATAGAGTGAAGGTATTTTAAGAGAGTGTGTGGCAGGGAGAGAGGTGACTTTGGCAAGGTGGTAAGTGTCACACCTTCTCCCTATACTGAATAAAAATGCTTCTAAAATATATATATTTCTTTGCCCCCCCCCCCCCCAGGGGGCAATAATTAATTCCATGGTGGTCCAGTAGGTCCTGGTGATCCAGTTTGTTGGTGGTGGACTCCTTTGTGGTCCAGTGTGCTGCTTGTGCAGCTGCACTCCCTCAAGGGTCCGGCGCTCTGTCATGACGTCAGAGCGCGGGCTGGGAACCCGGCGCCTGTGCTCTGACACTTACAGTGTGCCGGTGTTTTATGAAATAGAAACCACGTGGGAATGGGGCTGCACTAGCAAAACACTGGATCACCAGGAACTCCATATTTTCATCTCCCTGCTGGCTCAAGGAAGGGGGCCCCATTAGAGCCGGAGATTCTGGCAGCCGGCTCTGGCGGTGCCCCCCCTCCACATGCCTCCCGGGGCACTGTTACTTACTGCCACCTGAATTTCTCGCAGGGCCTATTGATTCGGGCTACTGGCCAAATCCGCCGATAGTCCAAATTTGTGCCGCGCACCTGGTCACCATAGAACCGGCAGGCCAGTGACCATCGTCATGGTTGCAGCCCCTAATGGCGGCCCTGGGAATACGTGTTTTTATTCCTGACACTATGGTGTTCCTTTAAATTTGAAATTCACTTATAATGTTCACTTTAGTAAACAACTCTATTAGTTCAGGCTTTAATTATTCAAAATTCAGAGTTTAGTGAATAAAGCCCACAGTCACTTACTGAACTCTCTGGGGTTAATCACTAAGGCAGGACCTGGGAATTATTAAAATAAATCCCCAAATGGCCCCTTTGTCCAGTTATCTTACCCAGCTTTCCTACTCTGGTTAGAGAGATCCCCACAATCCTGCCCAGGTAGACAGACTCCCAGTGACAGGCCAGGACATGGTGCTTACTTACCCCTCACCCATTGGCTGCAAGCCTCCCCCCCCATTTACACATTAAGGACTACGTTTCCCGGCATGCTTAGCCATGCGTTTGGCTGGCGGAGCATCATGGGATACGTTGTCCAGAGAACACCAGGTTCAGCGGCTGTCTCCCAGCAGGCTTAGCGCGGCAACATGGCGGCGTCCATACTGCCCCATGCTGGGTCATGTCTCCGCAGCCGCCCCGGGCTCCGCTGCCTGAGCCTGCAGGTGAGCTGGGGCGGGAGGGTGGTGAAGCCGGTCCGGAAGGAGCCCCTCGAGATCCCGGGGCTGGAGAGGATCACCTACGCGGACAGGATGTACCATGTCCCCTGGCTGGCTCGCCCCACCTTCCCCGAGTTTAGGAAGGACTGGGCTGACCCCGGACACTACCGGGCGCCCCCGCCGGAGGAGATGGAGCTGTACCGGGAGCGACCGAGCTATGTGTTCCACCGCAGCTGCCGCATGGTGGGAGGTTTGTACATGGCTGTGGGAGGAAGGCGGACAGGCACACCAATGTTTCCTTCTTCAGATTGATCGACAGCCCATGGAAAGTGCTCTCTGGCCGTATGTAGCAATCATATGGTGCAGGGGGTATCAGTGATTAATGGCATTCCATGTCAGCCCATCTATATGGTCCCTGGTGGCTCTGCTTTCCCTCTATGGGGACAAGGAGGACATGGTATCCTAATGGGTGACCTCTATTCTCTTTAACCCCTTAAGGACCAAACTTCTGGAATTAAAGGGAATCATTACATGTCACACATGTCATCTGTCCTTAAGGGGTTAAGGAATTGGGCTACGCGGGGGAGGGAGATTGTGCAGGAGGAGGGCTCATGTAGTCCCTGCTCTCCTTTGTGCTGTTGGATGTATGCATGGTGCTTAAAGGGACACTATAGTCACCAGAACAACTACAGCTTATTGAATGTGTTCTGGTGAGTAGAAGCATTACCTTCAGGCTTTTTGCTGTAAACACTGTCTTTTTAGAGAGAATGCACTGCTTACATTACAGCATAGAGATAACTCAGATGGCTACTAGTGTTGCCTCTTGGGGGCAATGATGCACATCACTGACATTTAGTTTTCTCAGGGTTGCCACCTTTCTGGTAAAAAAAAAAAACGGCCGTTCTAATTTGCATAATTAATTTATGCATGCGTGACATCACAAGATGTAAATCACAAGGAGTGACATAACAGAAAATTCTTTAAAATCACCAAATAACTTGGTTTGATTCTGTTGTATAGAGTGATTTCTCCCACTGTCTCCCTGCACAGTGTCTTCATGTGTCCCCATGTCTCACAGCGACCCCAGATGTCTATGTCCTCATGTCTGCTAGTGTCTCAGTGGTGTCTCCATGTCTCTCAGTATCCCCTAGTGTCTGTGTCCCCATGTCTCCCAGTTTCCGCGTCTGTGTCTCCCAGTTTCCGCGCCTGTGTCTCCCAGTTTCCGCGCCTGTGTCTCCCAGTTTCCGCGCCTGTGTCTCCCAGTTTCCGCGCCTGTGTCTCCCAGTTTCCGCGCCTGTGTCTCCCAGTTTCCGCGCCTGTGTCTCCCAGTTTCCGCGTCTGTGTCTCCTTCTGTCTCCCCTAGTATCTGTGTCCCCATGTTCTCATGTGTCTGGGTCTCTGATCCCCCCTGTGTTCCCGTGTTTGCGTCTCTGATCCCCCCCCTGTGTTCCCATGTCTGGGTCTCTGATGGTCCCCCCTGTGTTCCCATGTCTGGGTCTCTGATGGTCCCCCCTGTGTTCCCATGTCTCTGAGATCGGGGTATGTGGGTATACGCAGGGAGTTCTGGCTTTTTGTTTAATTTGGACATCTGATAAAGCATGTACAGCATTCTATTATTCCTTTCCTCCTGTTTTAGTGGCATGGTTAGTATTGCTATCCCCCCTTCCTACTATATTTATGGGGGTCATGTGCAGTATGGCTAGTCTTATATTTGAAGGATATAACTACAGTATGTTTACTTTAACCATTTACTGCTTAAAGGGACACTATAGTCACCAGAACAACTACAGCTTATTGAATTTGTTCTGGTGAGTAGAATCATTACCTTCAGGCTTTTTGCTGTATACACTGTCATTTCAGAGAAACTGCTATGTTTACATAGCAGGGTTAATCCAGCCTCTAGTGGCTGTCTTTCTGAAAGCCGCTGGATGCGAAATTCGCATCCAACGTGCAGAACGTCCATAGGAAAGCATTGAGAAATGCTTTCCTATGGACTGTTTGAATGCGTGCGCAGCTCTTGCCGCGCATGCACATTCCGCTCCACTCAGGAGCTGACGTCGGAGTGGGAGGAGTGGTCACCAGTGCAGAAGGAGCCTGGCGCTGGATTAAGGTAAGTGACTGAAGGGGTTTTAACCCCTTCAGCCCAGCGGAAGGGGGACCCTGAGGCTGAGGGTCCACCAAGGATGACGTAGTGTCAGGAAAACGGGTTTATTTTCCTGACACTATAGTGATCCTTTAAGGGGGGGCAAGCCACCTTAATGGTGGGTTTAGCATCATAGGGTCAGGAATACATGTTTGTGTTCCTGACTCTGTAGTATTCCTTTAAATAATGTGTATGACAAGCACTTATTTTAAAGGTATTCATGCATGTTTCCAGGTGAAATATAGGCACAACTGATGGCATTTAAATACGTATCAACACAGTGTTGCACATGGGTCAACTGTTCTAAAGATTTTATATTTCCTTTATTTTAGGAGTAAAACAAGCCCTTTGGCTGACCAAGTCCAAGCTGATTGAAGGTCTTCCAGAGAGAATACTTAGCATATGTAATGACCCAGCGTATCAATTCTCCAACCACGAACAACTGGTGCACAACCTAATTAATCAAGCATGTATATGGAACAACAAGGAAGAACAGCCAACCAGGGAAGAATACTGGTTAGTGTGAACTATCACATGTGTAATATCCAGTCTGAATGTGATCTGTCTGTGGTCGTACAACGATTGGTTTCTGCCTGTTGGCAACCCCTGTAGGAATTGCTGATAGGTATTCCACCTGAGACAAATTGCTGAGCAAATGGGTATTGATTGCAAACTGTAATGACAATTGATACCTTAGCAGCACCCATAATCCTTTTCCAGGAAGTTGAAACAAGTTAGTGGTTGTTTTTCTCTTTTAAGATTACGAAACTTGTGAGTGAGGACGAGGGGCACAATTATTGTTGAGTGCTGTGTAAATTGAGGCTATAAAATTATTCTGTAGATAAATGGCAGCCAGCATGTAGCTTTTCAGTTGCCGTAGAACTACAGCTCTATGATGCTCAAAGAGCAATTAACGTTTTTTTTGTTTGTTTGTTTTTTTAGAATGATTGCAGAGCATCATTACTGCTGTAATGCTACTGTTTTAAAACCTACAATGAATCTAATTTTGTATGCCTTACTTTCCTCATACATAATTTTTACTGTATGTAACCGATCCCTTATACTCCAACTGAGTATATCCGTTGCAAAACTCCTAAGTGAATGAGTGACTAGAGCTCTTGGTTACCCAAACATCAGCCGAGACTTGATGAAGGGTACAATAGGAATTACTTTATTGAAGGTAAGATGCACAGACCCTGCCACAGGGGTCTTCATTCAAAGTAACATAAAACATAAGCCCACCCAGGCGTCGCTGTGTCTGGGAGATAATGGTATCTCCGGACACAGGAAGCCAAATACACAAAATACAATCATGTATACCCACATGTCATACATCCCTGAGAAGCTCCCGGTCCCAGCTATGATCTCTACAAATATCGTAGCGATCGGATGTACAGAGCCTGAGAAATCATCGTGTAAAGTCTGGGCTTGAAGCTCTGTACATCCCTGAAAATAGTTCCACAGAATTACTTGGTTTCGACCGGTGGATTCAACTTTCGCACCTAAACCAAGTGGCGACCAATCAGAGCTCAGGGAGGGGAAGAGTTACAAGGTAAGCCCTCTAACTCGTGCCAGCCAATTGGGAGAAAGGACGCAAAACCATTTCAACGGTAGCTCCCTTTCCCATTGGTCACCGCGGACTTCCAGACAGCCAGCAGGACTCTGCCGCTGTGAGGCTCCAGAGGGTCGGCCAGGTCTCGCGTCTCTCTCCGGTGGATATCTCCGCGTAGCTAGCACCGGAGAGAGCGCTCTTCGGGCAGTTACTAGCCCAGACCCGTAGCTCCCGGGAGGGCAAGCAGGGGGAGCAAACAAAGGGATAGAAGGGATGGTGGGAACGGGAGGAATATAGCAGTTTGGGGACACTGTTTTGGTGGGTTGCAGGACTAGGAACACAGTTCGTTACACTATAGAGCAAGGCATAACATTTAAAGTTGTACACTAGATATTCAGTAACTAATTTACTACCAATTACAGAATCACACCTTTCCTTTGAAGCCATGTCCAAAGCATTCATTTGACGACCTGTTTTAATCTGCTAATAATTTTACATATGCATTGTAGCTTGATTTGCAGGTCTAATACAGAGCTCACCAGACATCCACTTTAAACCAAGGCGATTGGAAGCCCTGCATGCTACTGTACCTCACCCAACATCTTCTCTGATCAATTCAAATATGACTTTATTTTGTTATCTATAATAGAGTCCCATTAAAGGAACACTATAGGCTCACAGACCACTTCATCTCAATTCACACTAGCTTCAAAATGCTTTCCAATGGGAAAGTACTGGATTGGCTGAGATCATCAGTCTCGATGATCTCAGCCAATGAGGCGGAGCAGTACGCTGGAGACCAGCACTGCGAGGGAGAAGGGGTAAGCAAACTCACATGTTTAACCCTGTTGCACTTTAGTGTTAGGAATAAACATTTGTATTCCCAAACCTATAGTGTTCCTTTTAAGGTTGTAAACTTTAATAAATTTAATTAGTTTTTTATAATACTGGCTAGAAAAACTCTAGTATCTTTGAGAAATAAGTGTCACTCACTTTATTTCTGTTTCCCATTTAAGCCCAAAGCTGTTACAAGGCCTGTTGCATTTGTGCCGGACACAGAACAGTAAATTTTCTGCCCTTTCGGAAAGGAGCATTGTTGAGAATTGCCGCTTGGCTACTTTTTGGAAAAGAGGTACGTTTTGAAGCATTTTAAAATTAAATAACTCTATTTATGTTTGGCAATGCTAGGCTTCAGCATTCATTAGCTGACTGCTGATTGTCATCTTAGTGAAACGGTACTTGAACTCATCCTGTTCTTTACACCCTTTTTAAAGGGACACACAAAAAATAAGAGGGCACAAATACCAGTTTTAGGTACAATACATACAACAGTAGAAACCATGCAAAGGGGGAATGAAACAGATACAATCATGGCTCAATACAATTTATTGAATATAAAACACACAAACAATAAAAAAAAAAAATTATGCAAACACATTTGTGAGTGTTTTTTTTTTAATCTAATTATACATGTGCAAAGAAAACTCTCTGCCTAAAAACGCTGTATAGTCCCATCGTTCAGACCTTGATGCAAAGGCTCTTGAAAGATCTGATGGTCGTGATCCAGTAGGTCTCCAGGCTTCTTCTGTTATTGCAAGGCAGGGTCGACTGAAATCCAGTGTAATACAACTACTCAGATAGATAGGCTTCTACATGTTTAATCCAAGCGTAGTTAAGGTATCAAGGACAAAAACTTTTATTTTTTATTATTATTATTGTTTGTTGGTGTGTTCTCTCGTTTCCTCTTATTTATTGTGTGTTCTGTTTATTCAGTGATTCTTGTGAAGTTATTCCTTGAGTGGCTGCACTTCACCAGTTAGCATTTTACATTTAATGTATGGGCCTTTTATTTGGTTTATTGTTGATGTGACCTTTTAAAGGGATGCCATCCTAAACATTTTATTATCTTATTGTAAAGGGCATTATCTGTACATACTTGAATGGCAGTGATAGACTCTGAATGCCAGGTGTTATATTGCTGATCAATACTGTAAAAATGTACGCCTCTTTCACAGGTTCTGACACATATCATGTGCGTGGGATTAATGGCTTTCTTATGAGTGCAAAAAGCCCTCTCACCCGGATCGCCTCAGACAGTGAGATCCAGGCTACCGAGCAGCACACACTGGAGTCTTTGTACCCGATAGCTCCTGCTATTGACCTCCAGGAAGTCATTGTGTATGAGGAAAGAAATGATTCAGGTATCTTTTAATATTTAAATGATGTTGTTTTTCCCATCCTGACTCTCCTCCATTCCAACGGAAAACTGAATTAATGTTAAGGCTTGCTTACATGACAATTAGAAGTCATCTGAGCAGTAAGCTTGGATCTGCAGTTCTCTCCTCTATGCTCCTCTCCCATCAGTACAGCATGCCCATTTCCACAACAATGTTAATGAAGACATTGCAGCTTATAGGATCCCTAGGAGAGAGAGGTTTACCATGAAAATGAAAGACTTTTTGTATTGTAATTTACTGTTTAAATGACTTCAGTATTGTTATATAACTAGTTTAGTTTATTTTAATATTTAAAGGGACACTATAATCACCAGAACAACTACAGCTTATTGTAGTTGATCTAGTGAGTAGAATCATTGCCTTCAGGTATTTAAATGCAAACACTGCCTTTTCAGAGAAAAGGCATTGTTTACATTGCCTCCTAGGGACACCTCCAAGTGGCCATTCCTAAGATGGCCACTGGGGGTGCTTCCTAGTGCAGTGCTGCACATTGTGCAGCATTGCTGTTTAGCGTCTCTGCACTCTGAATGGAGACGCCGAATATTCCTCATAGAGATGCATTGGTTCAATGCATCTCTTTGAGGAGGTGCTGATTTGCCAAAACGTCATTTGGCTTCACCCCATCCCGCCTCTTTGCCGATTTTAGCCAATCCAATTTGGTCCTGCCTCCTTGCTGATTTTAGTGCTTTCCCTATGGGCAAAAAAATCCCATTCTGATGTCACCAAGGAGTTGGATTGGAAGAAGGGCCAGTGTGGGTGGACCTGCGCGGCATTGGAAATAAAGTTGTTTTAACATTTTCTAAAGGTGGGGGCAAGCCACCTAAATGTTTGTGTTCCTGATCCTGTAGTGCTCTTTTATCATATGTAGCTATAATACACTAAAATAAAGTTTGGTGGGGTGAGGGCCTGTGTTTGCTTTTAATGATATGTCTCTCTTCTTTTCATGACTAAAGTGTATTGCATTTATATTAAGATAAATAAACTGCAATCTTTGCTAATTCATGCATGCTATGTTAATCTCTTAGGTTTCAAACCTGGGTACCCATTCACTCACCCTCACACTTTGTTCCTCATCGAGCCCTGTAGCACCAAAGCCAAATTCTCACCAGACCAGCTCCGAGCAAAGATGATCATGTTGGCATATGGCAGTGCACTGGCCAAAGCCAGAAGTCTGTATGGGGTGAGTTAAAATGTTTTACTGCATGTTCCCCACTTAATCTAACTTAAGGCTTGCATGTCTGACATTATTTGTGGCATAGGGATTTATTTACTGTACAACTGGGTTATCTACTAAAAGCCAAAACTGTAGCAGAGAATTGGCCATGGGTCCACCCATTTGGGCATTATGCCGAACGCGGCAACCCATAGAGATTATACAGAAAGAGGTGTGGTATATGTTTTTAATATTCTCTTTTTTTTCCCCCTTTTAATTTCTCTATATGGCCTTCCAAATAGGAGAGTTGTCCCTTCCATTATTTTTTTTTTTTTTTCTTTTATGTGTAAGTTAACTATGTTGGCCTTAAGTTTTTAATGTGAAAAGGTGCTCTGAGGTTCATCAGGAAGTCTTGGAATGTCATTATACAGTTGCACATCTGACAGAGTGTCAGCTGATGCTCTAAGCCAATTAGTAGCTCCCCATTCATAAAAATGATTGAGAAATGACGTACGTTTGATAGCTTCCTGTGCTTCACGAGGTAATGTTATGCGGGGTGAATGGCAGAAGAAGGGAGCTCTATGTGCTTCTTGCAGCTGGTCACACAGACATTGCTTTAAAAAAAAAAAAAAAAGGGGGTGTGAGGAGCAAGAGCCACTAAAAGTATGTAAGATAAACACATGGGCAAATTGTTTAAAATTAATAAACACTTTTAAAGGGACACCACAAGGACCCAGACCACTTGGTATCAAAGAAGTGGTCTGAGTGATATGTTCCCCTTGTTTTAACCCTGCAGCTGAAAACATGGCTGTTTGGCAGGAACACTACATTACAGGGCTAACTTGCATCTGTTGGCTGTTATAAAACGCGACCATTTTTATCATATGGTTTCATAAAGACCATCTGATTAACGCAGAGCACACTAGCCTCCCAATACTTTACTCTGGAAAAGCATTGGATTACCTGAGAACATCAATCTCTATCCCGGTCAAAGAGGCAGAGCGGCATGCTGGGGAGAAAAGTCAAGTAATCTCACATTTCTTAACTGGCAGCAAGGGCCTGGTCCCCTATAGTGCCTATGGCACTATACCATTAGCAATACATGTCTGTTCCCTTAAATGGTGAATTAACATTAAGCTTCCAATACACAGTTACCCATTAATTTTCTTTCTTCTAATTAGAGCTATTTTCTCTTCAATTTTGCAAGGCATACTCATTGTTTTGTAGGAAAAACTTGAGTTATTATAAATATATGCAGAGAGAACTTGCTGGCATTTCGGGTCTGGACTGCCCGTATGGGTGGGACCAGTCTGATATGCTTCAGATATGTTCTCTCTGTAATGGCACAAGTTGAGCTAAAACCAGCATGAGTTCTGAGCGGGGACCCACCGAAGGGCAGGCTATTTTAGCTGCTGTCCGTTCTCAGAATACTCTTGCGACCCATTGTTTGCTCTCCATTAGTCTAAAGGGTAATCCAGACGTGGACCCCTTGCTCACGGTGCCTAGAGAGATATCAGCTATGCCTCACTGACGATGCCTAACAAGGCTGAAACGATCGTCTGGGGTTGCTGTATCTCTCGTGCAGAGAGAACTTGCTGGCATTTCGGGTCTGGACTGCCCGTATGGGTGGGACCAGTCTGATATGCTTCAGATATGTTCTCTCTGTAATGGCACAAGTTGAGCTAAAACCAGCATGAGTTCTGAGCGGGGACCCACCGAAGGGCAGGCTATTTTAGCTGCTGTCCGTTCTCAGAATACTCTTGCGACCCATTGTTTGCTCTTTATTATAAATATAACAGGTTCTATTTTATTTATATATATATAATTTTCTCAGATTTCACATGAAGGACATTGATGTAAAAGATTGTACAAGTTACTGGGGGGAAAAAATCTGTAAAATTAAATGTATTTGTTCAAACTTTTAGGATGACGCAGAGGTCTTGGAACAACCAATTGTCGTCCAAAGTATTGCCACTGATGGTCAGTTGTTCCAGTTTATGACATTTCAGCTGAACACCATGAATTTGGCTTCGGACGATGGAGTGAAAAACCTTGTGTGGATGGATTCTGATCAGGCCCTCTATGATACTGCTCTACGTTTGCCAAAAAAGAAGAGGAGGGTTGTTGTGGTGAGTATTGCAATGGATTTTTGGTGAATTAAAACAAGATGTTTTTAGAGTAAGGTGTAATTTAACCGAAACTCCAGTATTATTAAAAGTATAGGCTCCTTGCCTATATTATGATGAAAGGAGATCCACTCTCTTCACATCTTTTGACATTTGCAGCAATTAAGAAAAATTGCTACACATTGCAGGAGCAAGTGATCAATTACAAAGATCAGGATCTAAAAGCTTTAAATGCAAAACTTGCAATAAGGCTGTCTTGTAAGACCATTGGCCAATCTTTACATTTGTAGAAATCTTTGATTGCTACTGAGGCAATTGCTAATTTGGATATACCCATAAATTGCTGCTCACTAGTTTGCCAATGATGTGCACAGATTTGTAGCCACTTCCTTGTCACTATGAAAGCAGCTGCCATACAGGAAATTAGGGGGGGGAGGATAGGGGTGTTATAAAAATGTGATTCTTTGTTAACTAATTTCCATATGCCCACCCAGAATACTTTGCGGTAGTAACATCACTGCAAATTTGTGATTTCTGTGGGAAAAGCAAGTCTTATGGCTTGACTGGTGCGCAGATTTTGGTTTAACATTGTATTAACTATCCCCTAAATGATATCCATAATACATGAGGTTTCCAAAGCCAGCAATCACTATTCAAATAGTGAATATATTTATTTATATTTTGTAGTTTTGATTGGAAAGCTGAGAGATTGGTATTTACAGATAGCATGATTGAAATCAAACGCTTTAAATTGTCCCTTTGTTTAAGATTTAATTTACCCGAACAACCCCAATTACAGTGATTGGCCACCAGACATGCTTTACACCAACAATTGCCATGAAACTTTATAGATCTTCTGTTGGCAGTTCCTGACATGTTTCTTCCTACCTTGGCCAGTACGGAGATAAAACTCTGGAAGAGGCTAGTAAGGGTACTGTTTTCATTGTTAAAATACAGTTCTGATGTCTTTAGCCTACTAACCAGATCAATTTTTTTTCCCCACAGGTACCTGCTGGTATCTCCGGGTTTCAACCAGCAACATTTCTCAAATTTTGGGCAATGTACTTGCATGGAACAGTTTGAATGTCAAGATGTTTTGTTAGAAATAAACATATTTATATACAAATACCCCCTTGAGACTTTTTTTTTTTTTTAATCTGGGGTACAGACTCACACCAGAGACTGTAAACATGAGCTCATAACATTAGTTGAATGTGGATATTTGGTACCTGGAGCCAAATAAACCGTAACTGGTTATACTATAAAACAAATTGGTCTAACCATTACTATATGTCAGATTGGCAACATGCAGGTGTATGGATTAGATGATGGAATCTGCGTTGTACAACTCACCCTTTCACATCATGGTGGCTAAGAGTGAATATGTTCTGATCAGCTGTTTTACATTTCCTGGTTGTCAGCATGGCAACAGCTTGAGAAGACTACATATAGGACCTGTGTGCATTTCAAAGGGACTTAAAGCATTAACTGGTAGCCTTAAATTTTACATCATATAAAAAAAATCCCAGAAAGTGAATATACTTTGAATGGGACATGCATCACATGGCAATTACTTTCCTTATACCAGCAAGCAAACAGTTAAATATACAAACAAAAATAAAGAAAAAAAAAACTTCCAAAATTATGAAATGTTTAAACATGTCGTCAGACTGCACTATTGGGCACACCTCTCAGGAGCTTCCTCAGCCTCGCCGCCATCCCCCTCTCTTACCCACTTCTGTTTCAGACCAGTCCATTAATGAAAGAAACAGGGCATTGTTGGTGCCAGGAAACACGACAGAAGAATCTGCTCTTACTAGTCACTTTTTTTTTTTCTTCTTCTATTCTTTATTTTTTCAGTGCAGATAGGTACAGATAAGCAGATACTGCCAAGATAGCATAGACAATCATGAAAAACCAAACATTTAATTGCTGTAACATGGCATGTGAATAAATTGCACTCTTATTTTTAAAAGAGAACATGACAGAATGAGTTTCGTTCTGGAAAAAGCATGAAAAGGGTTCAGAGTAATGAGAAAACAATTTTAACTGAATAGACTTGCTAGCTTATATGTCAAAGATTTGAACTAGTGGAACTAAGCACTTTGTTGCTGCACCACTGTGTAAGTAATAGAGCAGATAGGGTATCAGCAGGGATAATAGTTACAGGCAAAAGTCAACATCATCCGATTCCCAATGCTGGGAGGCAGCTGGAACCAGCATTAATGTAGGGAGCCCAACCAGCGCAGATCAGGACTTGCCTCCCGCCTCAGTGCTATTTGGAGGCCCGCAGTGTTCGTGCACGGATTTGGGAGCCCCTTGAGATCTGGTCTGTCCCCTAGTCTGGGTGAGCAGGTAGAGTGGGCTCTCGGCCTAGGTAAAGTGCAGAGGCACTTGTGCTCGCGAAGGCCTGGAGGGGTCCCTCTTGTCCTGGCCATGCTCGTCCCCGAGATACCTCCATTTGCCCAGAGTGAGTAGGTTGTATACGATTCTGGAGCTTCAGCCAAAAGTCCCGGACTATTACATCCAGTCTCCAAAGGATAGATTCTAAGGGGGTCATAGTGAGGCTTGTGGGCCAGGGATATGCTCCACTGATTGGGCAAAGTGACAGCAGCCATATTGGGTTTTCATTTCGGACGGATTGTGCCTTGTGTCACAGTCCAATGGGGACAGAAATATCCCTCTGTGTCCAGGAGGGGTAGGGGAGTAGGATGTCAGATTTATACCACGAGCGGGGAGAATGTCATGATTTTGCAAGGTGAAGAGATCTTCGTGTGTAAATATGTCAGGCATGCCCAATGTACTTTTCCAGCATTTGTAAGGATAGGACAGCGGCTACTGACCACTCTGGAGTGGTTGTGGAAAGTATAAGAAAGGAGGTAAACATGGGGGGGACTTTTTTTTTTAAATTCTATCACCTGTAGAGTGAGACCAACTGTCTCCTTAAAAGGTAATGTAATGCAAGTCTCTTTAATGAAAATTTCTCAAACTAGTTCACAGGGTGCACGTTATAGCATTGTCAAACTGTATTTCTGGGATTCAGATCTGGCTTTTCTCAGTTGTATTTCGAAAGAGGACACAGTTATGGTATGAAATAAAACCGCACAATAACCAAAATTAAACGGAGCCCCGTTTCTTGAATGAACAATTTTGAAATCCAGAAAAAGTTTAAAAAACAAACCAGATTCTTTACTGGGCTTCACAACTTTTAAACTGTATCAACTCCATTTTAGATAAAATGACTTATTTGTGCCTGTCTTCAGAAATACATTTAAAGAAACTAATGTTGAATACAAAGCTGTATTCCTAACACTACATGTTCCTCTGTCCCTTCGTGCCACACGGAAAACAAAGTGTTTAATAACGCTTTAAACATTTCACCGATTCCATCACTGAGGTCCCTCGGCACTGGCTCCATCTCCACTGATGTCAGCATGAGTGGTAACCTAATGCGCATGCATGTCAAGCGCCACACGCATTAGGCTTTCCCCATCGGAAAGCATTGGTCCAGTGCTTTCCCCATCGGAAAGCATTGGTCCAGTGCTTTCCTATGGGATTTGCAAGACACTGGATGACCTCCAGTGTCATTGCACAGCGTTAAACTCCGTGAAAGGCTAGGATAGAGGCAGTCTAACCCTGCAATGTAAACGTTGTTTTACATTGCATGGTTAAAGGAATACTCCAGGCACTAAGACCACTTCTGCCCACTGGAGTGGTCTGGGTGCCAACTCCCACTACCCTTAACCCTGCAAGTGTAATTATTGCAGTTTTCATAAACTGCAATATTTAAATTGCAGGATTTAGTCCTCCTCTAGTGGCTGTCTAGAGTGACTTCCGTGACCTTAGAATACGAAAAGTGTTATATGACGCTGACGTCCTCACACTATATGTGAGGACCTCCAGCGTCGCCGAAATCCCCAGAGGAAAGCATGCGCATTAGGTCTTCCCCGCCAGCAGGAGAGGAGAATAGGCAGGGCCTGACCATTGCTGAGGGACATCGGCGCTGCACTCCGGTAAGCAACTTGGGATGGGAGAAAGAGGGGCACTACAGGGTCCTGCAGTGCCAGGAAAACTAATGTTTTCCTGGCACTAGAGAATCCCTTTAAGGGAACAGGAATACTGCACCCAGACCAATAAGATGAAGTGGTCTGGGTATCTGTAGTTTACATTTAAGTTTACAAAAATTGGATCTGTATCAGATAACCTAGGTTAGGGGAGCAAGGGAAAGAAAACAGTATGAAAGCAAAGATTAAAATAGGCATTCTAAGTAGCAATCATTAAAACTGTAGTAGTTATGCGGTCAATTGAAAAGGAAAGTGTTCTCTTGAGTCCCTGAGAACACCCTCTCTTTCGTCATTATCAGTACTGACCATACGGACAGCAGTGATAGGCTTCAAATGCTGGTCTAAGCTCTTCCCATCACTCTGTTTTTAAATGCCTATCAGGATGGACAAGGTTGACTGAAGAAGGAGCAGTCTCTGGTCACCAGATAGACTTTCAGTTTTTAAGACAGGGTCATCAGACACCGAGGTGTAGTGAGTGGTCATGGTGCTTAGAGTGCCAACAAAATTCTAGAAATACAATCACATACTGCTCAGCTCATCAGTGAAGCATCAAAATGTTACTGAAATTACAAGAATGTCAAAATATAGTTTCCATGGACATCTTAGTTGTTAGACATTGTAGGCACTTTATAACCACTTCAATGAGATGAAGATGTTAGTGTCTAGAGTCCCCTGGCACCATCATTCCATTCAGCGTTAAACAGTTTTTAATGATAAACGAGAGTCCCCAGTAGCTTAACCCCTTCTGTGTTGCTTGAGCTATTGAGGAAGCAGTGGGTAGCTGTGATTCGCAGAGACGGTCAGCTGACCGCTTTCAGCCTATCACAGCGTTTTTAACCCATTCAGCAACTTGGGATGGGGGTAGGAGGGAAAGGAGCACTACAGCGTCCTGCAGCGCCAGGAAAATAAATGTTTTCCTGGCACTGGAGAATCCCTTCAAAGGACTAGAAAGTGCCCATTATTGCATAAGCAAGGTATTTGTACTGACACTCCAACATTCCAAATAAAGAACAAGGGGTTGCCCAGTCTTATGTTCTATACCTTCCCACATACGTAAGACTATTCTATACAAGTTAATACTAAATCCACTGTACACCACTGCATGATGTTTGTTCTGTATATCCATAACAGTACTGATGGCTGATCCACTGTACAGTACTATAAAAAAAATATTCTTCATTTATAGCTGGCAACTTGTCTTTTTCCCCAATTTCCAGTTATAAATAACCCATTCTGGAACACTTAATTGTACAATTTTTCATATAAAATCATTAAATCTTTAAAGGAAAACTGTCTTTATTATTTAACATAAAAGGATAGCTTTCCAACAGGCGAAGAGGTATTTACATATATGTATGCAGTTCAAAATAATAGACAAATACTATATGACAGTTTTCCTTTAAATACATTGGAATGATAGAATGGAAAAGATACTTGGGAACAAAACTGTAAATCAGAGTGTTTAAATTTATTAAATTTATTACAGCATGGAGGGAGAAAAAAAAATATGAACCATTTCGACCAGGCTGTCCCGTAATAAGAGACAATAATTTAACTATCCCTTTTCAAATACATACTGAATTTCTTCTGTAACATTGTCCTGAGAGGAAGTTTTTCCCTCTTTCCAGCTAAGTCTTGACAAATAAAGCACAATAATAATGCCCCAAATCAGGCAACATTAATAAAGTTATTACGTCTTTAAGAAGAAAACGAAAAAAAAAAACATGTCCTTGCAATTTGTAAATCAGCGAACTCCCATACAAACCTAGCCCCAGGTGGGTGCAGAAAAAAAATGTCCCTTTTATTCAAATTTTGAGTGAAACTTAAAGTTTAGGTAACACATTTCATTTAGACCCAGGCGGAATTATTGAAGAAAAATAAAAATAATAATTACAAATTACAGTGTTGTCTATTGCCTGATTTTGTTATAGGAAACAAAACAGTGGTAACTCAGAGTAAGGACTTTGCAGGACTGTAAACGAGATTCTTGGAGCCCATATCCTTATGGGCCTCGTAAAAAAAAAAAAAAAAATCCATTCTTAGAGCCAAGATTATACAGAATAAAACATGTGTTTTAATTCCGGTTAAAAATATATATTGCCATTCAGTTCTAAAATCATAGACTGCACAGTCCTACGGGAAGGCATTGGTTTCACATGATGAGAACTTCCACTCTTGGGAATTTTAAGTTACTTACTTTGTGGGGTAGAGTAAAAGGTGGGGGTGGGGAGAAAAAAATCTTAGGTGTTTAACCAGAATATCAAGTCTTGTCTTCCATGAGGTAAAGAGAGCAGTCTTTCAGTCTGTACAGTTCAAATAAGAGTCTCTCTGCACATTGTAGAAATACGACTGCATTTTTTTTCGGAGTACGTCTTGAACTGCGCAAAAGAACTCTTTGGAGGGAGAAGGGCAACTGAACATCTCAGTTAATTTGGAGAAAGAAAAAAATAAGGACTAGAGACACAATTTTCCTATATCAGCTATTCTTGCTTGAATATCACGTCACAGACATAGAAACATTGAAAAAAGGACACAGCAATCAGATCCGTTATTCGAAGTTTCATTCTGTTGCAAAAGGGGAAAAAAATTTGACAAAAGGGGAAGTAAAAAGTTCTGTGCACAAGTTTAAATCCTTGAGGAAGGATTGCCTCGTCGTCTTGACCTTTTGTCATTCTTGTTTGATGGAATAAAAAGTTTCCCCTTTTTATTGCATGAAACCAAAAAGCGGGGGAGGGGGGGGGGGGCTGTCCCATGCACCTCTGCAACGGCAAATCATCCTCCTTATTTGCTGTGACCTTCAAAGCAGCAGCTGAGTTGAGTATGGTCTCTAGGTGAAGAGACTGGGTCACACGCTCATTGTCATGCTGGGCGAATACTGCAAGAGAGAAGAAATGCAATCAGGAGGGAACAAATAGCTCAATTTTCACTTCTACTCGTACTATGGGAAAGGAGCCATTACTGCAATACAAGGCACGTTTATTTAATGCAGAACTTACATGACTGAGTTAATTAAACATTCTTCCCCCCTCTTAATCTTTGCCTGCTACCACTGGGACTGCGAAAAAAAAAAAACATTTTGCATTTCTTGTAGTGGTTTAGTTTCCCTTGTGAACTCCATGTCAAACTGTGAGACAAGTTGGTAACAAAAACACATTTGACTCGGGCCACTTTTGTTTTAGAAGCAAAAGGCATGCATTGTTAAAAACAAAAAAACAAACAAACATGTAGATGAGCCTTTACTGTGTTGCGGTATTTGTATCAAAAGTAAAAATATGCGGTGTTAAATTTTTTAAAGGTTCTAAAATAAAACTACAGTGGAAATTTGACGTGCAGTTTTTTTTGCAGACGCACATAAAACACATAAAACTATTTCATAATCTATTGCAACCTCCTACAATTCAGCGCTATCAGGTAACACAATGATCTATAGCTATCTCTTACAAACTTCAACTCTGTCAAGCAAGAAAAGTCCTCTTCAGATCTAATCATGACCTTGTCTGCCCATTGCTGTAGGTATCTATCATCTTCTGGATTGGAATTCATATGAATATACCATTTACAAGGAGGAAAGTCTCCAACACATATAAAGAGGTTTGCCCTAAATTGGGAGTCTGTCCCCTGGGTTATCACAGAAACTCCAGGGGGACTCCCTTCCTGTATTAAAGGACTTGTAGCTTAATCGCTTTAGTTAGTACTTTTATCAGCAGTCAAATCCTAGCGCTCTGTTTTAGCAGCAAGGTTAAACTGTGACTTTAAAAGGAGTTTCTCTGTCCACCGGGTCTTTAAAGATGAAAGCGCAAAAAAAAGTGGTGTGTATCATAGTAGTGTAAAGAACTACAATATTTTTTTCTAAACTATAATAGCACAGCATACAAAGAGACCAACATAAAAATAATCCATCTGGTAAAAAAAATTTGAATTATAATGGACCTCCACAGTACTGTTGCATTAGCAAACAACTGCTCTAAGGTAGAACCCTCAAAAAAAAAAAAAAGTTGGAAAAACTACTCTACTGGCTGGTGGATCCCAAAAACAGAGGCGACAAAACCAAAATGTGCCCGGTACGTCTCGGGTAGTCATTAAAATCCTGTGTGTAAAAGATGTAGGGGCAACATAAAAATCCAACCAATATCCTTAATTACAGTATTATAGATATAATGGTTTAAATATTGAAGCTTTACATACACAGCACATAACTGCTCTTTATTGTTCTTTATGTATATATGGCGGTAACCGCATTGGAATGTGTAGCCTATGTAAATTCTATAATTCTAACACAGGTATTTGTAATAATAGGGCATCACATCACATAATAGGGCAGCAATGCCTATACATGACAAGAATTTCAGGTGTATACAGAGGCTTTTAATGATGTTATTTTTTCCATTCTCCACTTAAGGCTTACATTGTCATTCTGGAAGGAATGAAGAAAGTTCCCTCCTAATTCACCATCATCTCTAGGTGTTCCTGGGGGGTTGCTAATGCCACTAATGTTGTTTGGAGAGT